ACCATTACTTGCCAAATCCCAATGGTGTTTGGCTTCTTAAATTGGTCTTTCCCTTCACCCGCTCGTTCCTGCTGAAATGGAATCATGCAGCTGCTTGTGTGATTGTTGAGAAAAGCCCACACCCACAGGCTAAAAATTCTCCATTACCCAGTCAGCTTCTGTCACTTGCTTGGCAAGAGATATGGATGTTGGGAGTTATTTAAAGCAGAGCAATCTAAAAGGTGCATTGGCTTGATTGCTCTCTTTTATCTGTGGAAGGCTGAGATGCTTTGCTTTTTAGCTTTACAGCAATGTTTTGGCAGTTCAAAACGAGAGGTGTTTGCTATTCGTATAAGCGTCCATTCACACCAGATGCATTGGCATTTTTTTTTTCCAAGACAAGCCAACGCAAGGACCTGTGAAAACTAAGCTATGTGAATGGGAGTAGTTCACACAGGTGTGTTGCATTGGCATGCGCTGGAAAAAAAAATGAGAGAGAGATAAAGGTTAACGTGTGCAAATACAATGCTCGTCAACACACATACAAAATATCAGGCCACCATGTTTGGCTGGTCTGGCCTGCTGTAGACCCATCTAACAGGAAGCAAGATGAAAGTGTTCAGGAAGGTGTTAGAGAAGGGGTGCTGGACAGCAGGACCATTACCATGGCTGGCAGACAGTGGCTCTCGTCACTCTGGTGCATGACTACCCAGGGCTGGAGGACACCAAGAAGTGCTTTTACATGGACAGCTGAAGGAAGGGCCAGATCTTGGAGGAAATATCTACCCAACTGTATCCAGACTGGCAGAACATGGACAAGAAACCTCAAGCTGCCACCAGTGAGTAGATGCTAAAACACTCACTGCGGTTTAGGAAGCAGCCACTAATGTCCTACCAACCCAAAGATGTTATGCCCCACCCTAGAATGCTAAATGGCAAAAATAAGACCACAAATAAAAATTGCTAGAAATATTTTTTAAACAAACAGATGCAGATCACATATGCAAAATTCACTTCACAGCCAGTTTTTGGAAGTGACCTCCCTTGCTCACTCAGCTCTGCCACAGGCCATAGACAGCTGCCAATTAGTGCCTCAAGTCTCCTGGAGTGAACCCTCTCATCCTCATGTGTAAGTGGACCATAGCAGTTTATATTCAGATCTTCAAGCACAATTATTTGTTGCCACCCGGTTTTACCCTATTTTATTACCATTTGTTTTGTTGATTTTTTTTTGTGCTATTGTTACTTTAAATAATAAAAAAACACACAAAAAGGCAATTCTAGAATGCTAATTTGGCCTAATAAATATCTGTGGTTTAGTTCCTATTTTTGTTTTTTTTTCTTATTTGTATAGAACTGTCCTGGTTTAGTTTGAACATGTGAAAAATGGTATGTGAATAGCGGTGAGCGTACTTGCCTGTGTTCCGTTCTCTCTCGGACATTACCCAAACCGAAGGTTTGATGTCCAGCTGTCTCCTAGTAAACAATGATAAATTCCGAATGCATGATGTAGTTGGTTTAGGAGAAGGGTGGACCTGCAGTGGCAGTGGTTAAGGTGCACATCCTCATGTGGTTCCCCTTTTCATTTGTTTGATTATCAGCATTATTATTATTGTGTTCGTGTATTTTTTTTTTTTTTTTTTACAACAAACATATTATGGAACCAAAAAGATGTGACACTGATACTGTGGGACCATATTAGGAAGGTTATCTTTCATAGAAGAAAGAGCATTGGCCCAGTGAGCACTGAACATGGTTCACTTGGTCACTGTACATGATTGCATTGGTTCTTATCAGACCCTGCATGGCCACTATTGCTAACCTCATCCCTGAAATGGTCAAGCAATGCTTACCTTTCATTACACTCTTAGCAATTTTATGCTGGAGCTATATGTCCTCAATCTTTCTGGTAAAACAACAATCAGGGTCATTCCACCAGAGAAACTGAGAAAAACTAGCCATGGTCATGATTAGGTAGAAAAAAGGCACACATTACTAAAACTTGGGTACAGTATAACTTAGGCAGGCCATAGACTGATGGAATATCTTTCCTGCAACCACGGGTTGCAGAAAATAAATGCGCTGGAATCCCCCATCAACAGTGCTGACAGGGAAATTCCTCCGGTACAGACATTGTGTTCTCCCGATGGGGGTAGGGTGGGGTTGAAGCCATCCCTGCCTGGAGAACACACTGATTATTGCTAGTGGCTACAACAGCAATAATCGCATGTGAAATCCAGCACGCTGCTTACACCAAAGTTGATCGGTCAACTTGGGTATATTCAGCCTGCCCATACATGATTCGAATCTCGGGCAGTTCCTGCTGAACTGAACATCTGAACTGAACATCTATGGCTGGCTTTATCAGAGCGTAATCACCAAATGTTCAGTCAGTGACACAGTGTTTCTATAATCTGTGTCCTGCATTTGAAGATCAGGCATCAGATATTCTAGGAGATGGTCAAAGCTAGGAAAAATAGAAGGGAATAAATTGCTAATACAACATATACACACACCCTTGCCACTGAAGGGCACGTGCTAGACTGCAGAGCATTGCAAACCATAGAAAATACAATAAACACCTCACCTTTCAAATGACATCCTGTTATATTAAAAAAAAAAATTGTCACAATGGATACACTGGTCATGGTACAGAGTCCAGAACTGACCCTTCTTTTCTCTTTAGGTCAAGAGTTGATTAACCCAAAACTCACGTCTCTGCCAACTACGTTTTCTGAATGTCAGTGACCAGCGTAATGATGCCATTTAGAGGAGACTTTACTCAGAAATGCACGTTTCTACAGAGGAATTCCGCTCAGCAAAAAACTCCTACAAGCAGGACATGACCTCACAGAAAATGTTGACTATTTCAGTGGACATATCCTTTTTATATAGCTTAAAGTGGTCATAGACTTCAAACATGAAATATGAAAAAGCATTTCCCTCTATAGTGTTTACTTGTCTCTATCCAGAGCACTAAGTGTCATTTCTGTCTGTTGCTTCATTCCTCTGTTAGCATGAATTACCGTACTTCTGACATGCTTTCCTGACAACAAGAGAAAAATGGTAACAGGCTGCGATTGACAGCCTCAGCTCTGGTCCTATGTCTGTGTGTGTGTGGGGGGGGGGGGGTCCCTTCCTTTCAATTAGCTCTCAAAGCTCTCCTCACTGAATGCTGCAGTGTGTAGTTTCAGCTCTCCACCCCCCCCCCCCTTTTTTTTTAACACTTACTCAAGCTTTACAGATTCTGGACTTTGAATGGATGTAGAGGAGAGGGGGCCACAGATAAACAGGTACAACTTATGTAGGAGGATTTGTTTCATCTCTGTATATCATCTGAGGTCAGTCACTTCACTGGGTATATGTATTACAACCACAGAAAAAAAAAAGCTGCATGACAATGCTCATACGTTTACCTGCACTCAGCGCACAAGTTGTAGTGTGAATGGACCCTAAAAGTTCATAAGATTTTCAAAATGGATTTAATTCATATATATTACAGGGGATTTTTTTTATATTTTTGATCCATGGATAACGACCCTGTGGAGTTGATTTCATTTGATTAAGAACAAAAAAAAAAAAAAAAAAACAGCATGCACCTGCAGCACAAACCACCTATGAGTACCACTCAGACTTCAAACAGAGGTATATACTAACCTTAAAGCTACTGCAACCAAACTGCTATAGACCTCTGCTTGGAGTTCCGAGAGTACTGCTCAGTGATAGTATGAATTGTAGGCAAAAACGGATTACTAGGCCCGGAGCATGGATTTGTCACAAGCTCTACCTTAGAATTTAACACCATGATATTCCTGCATGTTCTAGTTACATCTGTTATACAGCCACCTTTGTATATGGAAAATTATGGCTTTATTGATTTTAGGGAGAACTCTGTATAAGGTATTTTTAGGTGAAGTAGGGTTAGGTCTACAGCCAATTGCTACTGTCACAAACACTGCAATCCTGTCCAAAGACTTTTGAGAAAGTTGTGAAAATACATCCTCTGAATCCAGCTCAAAGGAAGTTTGAGTACAGTGATAACGCACAGAAGCTCTTGTAAGACCAGAATGGTACTGGGGTGCTGAAAGCTCTCCCATTCCAATACAGTCCTATGGCCTATTGTGAAGGAAGCTGATCATGTTCAATACAGTCCTAAGAGCCATGGTGCCGGGTGTGCGGAGCTGCTCAGGTTCAATACAGCGCTAGGCCCGAGGTGTTGGGATGTGGGAAGGGTGCTATATCCAAAATAGCCATTTGTGCACTGCCTGCACTCCTCCACCACAGACCAGCTGTCAATATTTTTCACTGCTCATAATGCACCCCCACCACAGACCAGCTGTCAATATCTTTCACTGCTTCCTTATGCCAACAGTGATCCCCTGCCCTTTCTGCTTCCAGATTTCTCTGTTCATTTCATATGGACAATCTTCTAAACGATACACAGCACAGACACAGAGATATGAGAAAGGAGAGTGTGGGTAATGCATGGTGATAAAAGTTCTACTACACCGAAAACACTTTGAGTTCTCCTTAAAAGACATAAAATGGTGGCATGTTTAACATTGCAAAAGAACAAAATAAATAATATAGTCAACTCATTACAGTCAAACCAACACAATGGAAAAGTAAAATCATACAAATAAAAGTAGCATACACATAAAAATACACAGAGCAGTCGCTACAGAGGTTCTTCTGGGTCTAGTGGGAACATTCAAAGCTGGACACCACCAATTCCATCTCCAGTGTGTACCTATCATGGTTACTCCTCTGCACAGACCACAATGCAATCCAGACCGCTTTCACAGTCCAGTGCTAAATTCTTAACCTGGGTCCTTCTCTATTTCTAGTCATTAACCTGCACAAGGAATCAGTAGCTTCTTCATGTTGTTCTTATGGCTTTGAAATAACAAAAATACTAAAAAAAAAAAACTCTGCTGTGTGTTGGACATTGAGGAGGTGACCTTGTCCATCAGTCTGTAGTGGTTCATATTTGGTGACCTAGAAGGAAAATCTCATCAGTTCTATTTCACCCTAACTGTTGACGTTCCATGGATGGACTCCATTATGGCTGTGAAACGATTGCACAGATCGTATGGGGAGTGAGGTCGGATTTTGGGGGGCTCCTTTAATGAAATGTCTTCACTAGCACAGTCCAAGAGCCTTGGAAGGAACTGGCCGAGCTTCAGCTGTAAATTTTCTGTAAAACAGAGAAGTGAATGCTTTTACAAGTTTGTAGATGGAAAGAGATTGCTATTTAGGTTCTTATTAAACACAATATCCGTCTGAGAAATGTAATTCTTGCAGTACATTGGTCCGATATACTTATCCAGTTTTATAATCATCAGCACAGCTAAATGAAGGCTCCTACCAGTATAGCTTTATGCGCAGCTTTCAGCATTTGAAACACGTTAACAAGCCCTACTAAAGTCTCAATGAATATTCATCAAGTGGTAAGCATGTAAGGTCCTACAGTTGACTTTAGTAGTTTACTAAAGTAGTTCAAGCACCCCTAAAATTAGCCTGCTGCTCACCAATTTTTTCTGCTAAGAATGTCACCGCCCCATGACGCCACCACCCTCCTCTCCACTTTGTCCACTCAAAGAACTCCTGTGTTAACTGTAAAGATCACAAGGCATTCTTTGAATGGGGCCAAAGAAAGAAGATTGTCAACATCATGGACAAGACATCAGCTGTATACAGCACAAAGAGTCATCATGTTTCCACCATAATGGCCTTACTTATGGCTCATGCTGTTATGGCGGAAACACATTGACTGTTTGTGCTGTATACACCAATGTCCTAATAAAGCTGAAGTCTTGCTGCACTTGACGGCCATCTTTTCCTCAGTGGACCACATCCATGCCTGAACACCGGCCATTCATTGGTGGATGTTTAATATTAAGGAGGTAGAAGCATTGCTTTTTGTTTCTAGTGTGAATGGTGCCAGTCCCAAAGCAAGTGATTCCTGTGGTTCTTTGCAGAAGGGCAGCTGCTCAGCACAGGACCTGGAAGATCGCAGGATATTATTATTATTATTACTACGAGTTTATATAGCGCCAAAGGGTTTACTACAGTAAATTGCAGAACCCACAGAGATCGCTCTGGTAGGACATACGCATATTTATGATCTGAACTGGACCAATGTAGCTGAAGTTTAAGTGTGATTTTTTTTATTGCATAAAGCTCGACTTTACCCAAAACTTCATTTTTTAGGATTTAAAGTGTTATAATAAAAATAAAAATATAAAATGTTATATTTGGTCCGCCCGGACCCTGCATTCACTATATCTGGTCCGCCCGGACCCTGCATTCACTATATCTGGTCTCCCCGAACCCGCATTCACTATATCTGGTCTCCCAGGACCCTGCATTCACTATATCTGGTCTCCCCGACCCTGCATTCACTATATCTGGTCACCCTGCATTCACTATATGCTTCACTATATCTGGTCTCCCCGGAGGACCCTGCATTCACTATATCTGGTCTCCCCGGACCCTGCATTCACTATATCTGGTCTCCCCGGACCCTGCATTCACTATATCTGGTCTCCCCCCTGGGTCTCCCCCGGACCCTGCATTCACTATATCTGGTCTCCCCCGGACCCTGCATTCACTATATCTGGTCTCCCAGGACCCTGCATTCACTATATCTGGTCTCCCCGGACCCTGCATTCACTATATCTGGGTCTCCCCAGACCCTGCATTCCCTGGTCTCCCCGGACCCTGCATTCACTATATCTGGTCTCCCACAGTACACAGAACAAGGAAATGCAATTATATTAGTAAATATAAACTGCTAAATACCTTTTCTCATCAGCAGTTTATAGCAGTCTTTTGACTTCTATCAGTGTGCAGCAGAGCACTGGTTAAAGCTTGTAGGATTTGTTTTCATTCTCCCTGATTATCCTGCGAGGCTGCAGGAACCTCTGTCTGGACAGCGCTGATTGCATGTGATCAGCACAGAAGAAGAAAACTATCTAGTAATACAAACCAAAATGAGCATGTGCAGCTTGCCCCCAAGGCTCTATTCTATCAGCAGATGGATTGGGGACAGTAGAAGAAGGGTACGATCAGAGAAGATAGGATCAAACAGCCTTTTTAACACAATGCGGAGGATTTTACTAAACCCAGGACCCTGCATTCACTATATCTGGTCTCCCACAGTACACAGAACATAGAAGTACATTTTTTTTAGTAAATATAAACTGCTAAATACCTTTTCTCATAAGCAGTTACAGCAGTCTTGTGACCCAGCAGAGAGCACTGGTTAAAGCTTGTAGGAGGAGTTTTCATTTTGCTCTAGGAGGATGCAAAATCCCTAACCTCTGTCTGGACAGTGCCGATTGGCCCTGTGCTAATCACATGCACTTTCCCAAGAAAAAAAAAACAAAACCTCTCTAGCAATACACACCAAACTGAGAATGTGCATGCCTACAGTTCAGTCTGGAGATAAGAGGTGGTCACTTGAAAAAGGGGAGGGACAGAGAAGGATCAAACATCCTTTTTACACAATGCAGAGGATTAACCCCTTAGGTTCCACAGTGAGTATAACAAGCATGCTTTCCTGTATATACAGACTGATTTTACTGTTGTGGGTTTAGTAACTCTACGCTCTCTGTCAGGTTTTCACTGCTGTCCTAGGAAAGTCTGCCAGATAGTGAATGTAAAAAGCAAACAATGGAAAAAATAATTTTAAATCTTGCCTAACCCTACTTAAAATTCACTAAATTGACTAACATGTTGGACACTTGAGCACAGGGGCGGACTGACAACTCATGGGGCCCCCGGGCAATAGGGGATCATTGAGCCCCTGTATCCTTGCCCATGCTCAAAAAAGCCTATGAAAAAGGTACCAGGGCTATCTCATGGGGCCCCCTACTGACCCCAGGCCCTTGGGCAGTGCCTGAGTTTCCAAATGGTCAGTCCGCCCCTGCCCGTTACCACTCGTTTGTTATGTGGGCTGTGTGCTGAGGGTCGTTGTCCTGTTGAAAGATGAACCGTCACCCCATTCTAAAGTCCAGAGCGCTCTGGAACAGGTTTTCATCGAGGATGTCTCTGTACATTGTTTCATGCATCTTTTCTTTGATCCTGACTAGTCTTCCAGTTCTTGCCGCTGAAAAACATCCCCACGGCATGATGCTGCCACCACCATGCTTCACTGTAGGGATGGTATTGACCAGGTGGTGAGCGGTGCCTGGTTTCCACCCCTGCTTGAGCATCATTCCTGACCACGGTTTGGTGAAGCTCCTGTTTCAGCATGACTGCCCTATGTACAAAACCAGCTTTATAAAGACATGGCTTGTACAAGTTTGGTGTGAAGGAACTTGAGTTCCCTGACCTCGACCCTACCGGACACCTGTTGGGATTAACTGGAATGCCCGTTAAAAGCCATCAGTATGTGAATTCCTACGGACTCCAAAATCATTTGGAAACCCATCCAGAAGACTAGGGGATATATCTGCAGAGGAAGGCAACTCTATATGAATGCCTATGTATTTGAAATGGGATGTCAAAAAACGTTCATCAAAGTGTGATGGTCAGGTGTTCACAAACGTCTGACCTTGCTAGGTTTTCGTTGTCTGCGATCCTGGTGGAAAGCCTTCTTGCCCAATGGACCAACCATACAGCACAGGAAATCACAGACAGCAATATAAACCTGTTGGAGATTAACCTTTCCCCACTCTATCATACACTTAAAAAAAAAACAAAAAAAACAAACAAAAACCTGAGCTTTAATAGTATCCATAGACAATTGTTGGCAGTCACTGAATGTATTTTCTACCTCTCATTTCATAGCCATTTTCATTTTTCCAAATAAGTCATTTTGCTCTTGCTGTTCACTCTTACAAAAGCTTTACAAATCACTATTAAAAGATGAGAATTGAAGAAAATTCATTGTTAAGCAATAATCATGCTGTTCTACCTGTGCGTCTTATGTAGGGATGCTGTGAATGTGCCTGGCATCGTAGCACAATAAAATACATATGAATTCTTCACTGTCTAATAAGTACTGCTCAGTGCTAATTTGTATCCTACCCAGCGTGCCTGAGACTCTTATGTCTGGAATTCATTGCCGGCAGAGACAGATTTCTGACAGCCCATTAATCTCGCTTCGCACGAGCTTGGAGGGACAATGTGTATTCTAATGTGCCATAAACTATCGTTATGCTTTAATCTTCCTTAGGAAAAGAGGAGTGGGGGCCGTCAGTCAATAAATATGCAGGGATGTTAAAAGTGACACGGGTTATTACTGCGTCAACTGCTCGTGCAGCTCAGAAAAAAAAAAAAAAAAAGGGGTGATTGGTGGAGGGGGATGAAGCTGCGTGAAAGTCAAATAAGCAAAGGTCAAAGTTGTGTCTCTGCAGCTTTGGTATTCCGTGTGCTGGATGACAGAAATCACAACTGAACTACAGTACAGGGCAATGCTGAAAACATCCCCGTTATTAAGCATTTAAAGGGCCTCCATACACCAAGGTACATAATGATCAGAAATTGGATGACGTACAAGTGTTATTAACAGAGACCGGGGATGGGAGCAATCGTTCTGAAAACGCAGCTTACTTCTTCTTGTCCAGTAATCATTCAATATTAGGAAGCGATCAGATGTCACTTTTATCACAAGTGTAATAAAAGCGCCACACCCTTAATACTTTAAAGCAGCAATTCCACCTCAAAGAAACCAAATAAATTTCTTAGTGCTGGTAACTTAAATCAAGGAATGCGCTAAAACCACAAACTATTCCTAATTTAGTGTAGAAACATTAGTGCAAAAGATATATATATCTATTATCAATTAATATCAAAAAATATCAAAATTATGTGCAAAACATAAGTAATTTAAATAATTAAATTTGTGAATATAAAAAAAACAAAAATGTCCAATTCTGATGTCACTTTTCTCTCTGATGGGGGCTGATTTTGGTTTAGGCTTTACAGCAAACCATTTTCAGTACCATGGATCTCAATTTCTTTAGAAATGTGGTTACTTTTATGGCCCTATGAATAGCAGTCTGTTAGGCTCCTTTCACACGGGCGTTACATATGTCCATTGTTCATCTATCCGTTTCCGGATGAAAAACAGACACCCATGTATTTCTATGGGCTGGCGGATGTAAACCGATGATCATCAGTTTACATCCGTTAATGTCCGCATCCGTTAACATTTTTTTTTGAACGGAACAAACCCCTATTTGTCTT